ACCCCCGAAAGCAGGTAAAATAATGGCCCAAAACCGAAAAAAGGCTATAATTCTACATACTTTTGGGGTTCAGGCATGAGCATTTGTTTCCAAAAGTTTGGGATTTAGGATCTCAGGTTTAGGATTTATACGGGTGGTTGTCAAAATTATAGTCCCAAGAAGGGACGCTAGTTTTGACAACCACCCACCCATACAGAATCTAGAGTTCAGAGTTTGCCTAGGTTTGGTGTTCATGGATTCAGCCTTGGACACGCAATTCCCCCGCGCTCACACTTCTACCGATCAAGGGGCTGCGCAGAAGCGTGAGCACTGCTTCACTCGGCCTCCAGTCTCTGCACGCCTTCGGCGCAAGCATTGATACATCCTCAGCTGCAATTGAATCCTAAATCTGAAACCCTCGACCCGAAATCCTACATCTGAAGCTAGAGCTTTATTCAGCTCTCTGCAGCAACTTTCCAACACGAACCGCGAGAATGAGCCAAAAACCAAAAACTCATCAGCATCAGGGAGAGAAAAAGAGAGAGAGAGAGAGAGAGAGAGAGAGAGATAGAGAGAGAGAGAGAGAGAGAGAGCGAGAGACAGAGAGAGCGAGAGAGAGAGAGCGAGAGACTGAAGAGGGTCAGCATCTCTGTCCAGCGGCGACTGTAGGAGAACAGAGTCGGCTGCAGCTGCCGGCGCGGCATGTCCTGTCAAGTTCACAGAGAAACACCCGTCCTGCACACATTTAAAAGTCGCCAAGCAACGACCCCGCTGGCCGACTCGTGCGAGCAAACTAGTTGTGATTTCCCTGCCAAAAGCTATGGCTGATAGAGGAAAGCTTGGAAGACCTAAGTAGAGAGACGCCGCACGATGCACACGCATAGCCCCTCAACGTCTCTTCGATGACGGACAACTATATATTCTACTACGAGTACCAGAACCCAAATCGCATACCCTGAAGACCGGTAACCCTTAAACCCTTAACCCGAAGCCCAATGAACCTAGGCCCCAAACCCAGAAAGCCTAAACCCTATAAAGCTTAAACCCTTAACCCGAAGCCCCAAACCGGTACTTAGGACCTTTGGCTTCCTGAAGCAGGTCCAAGGCCGACCGCCAGGCGAGGGATAAGCAGCCCAGGACCTATGGCTGGTCTAACGAGGCATGATTTTCTGGGTTGTAGTTTTGGGGCTCTGAAAAGTATTTATGAATAGGTACCTCTATAGGAACCATAAGGGAAATTAAAAAGTTTCCCAAATTGCCACCTAGTTTTCTATAGGGGTGAAGGGGTTTAGGGTTTAAATAGGGGTTGAGTATAGGAGCTTGGGTTCAAAGCTTGGTGTTGAGAATGTAAGTTTAGGGTCTTGTGTTTAGGGTTCAGATCAGGGTGGATCTGTGCTGATTTCTTTTGACCATGAAGCCTGAGCCCAAATCCCCAAAGCCCCTGCTTTTGCCTGCGGCTGCAGGATTGGGCATGGGGTGAGTAGCCAGAAGCCTGAAGAGGCCGCTACCCTTCGAGCCCGGAAGGCGGAAGGGTACTCAAAATACCCCCAAACAAATTCGACACCCGCCAAAACCTGGTCCTGGCTTGGGCTTCAGAATTGTTTTTTTTCTTGTAGGGTTTGGTTTCGGTTGCAGAATTTACGGCTTAGGCACAGGTTCACAGGACACACAATTCAGCCAAGGTGCAGCGTCCACCAATGCCGGGGTCACCGGCGGTCCCCTGAATGAGGTTGGTTGGGCGGGCACCCTTGCTCGTTTTTACGGTTTAGGATTTCAGTGTTTTGGGGTTGACGTCTTTGGGGGTTTCGGATCGTGAGGGCTCTGGGTTTGCTGCAGGGGCTGCGACATCAACAACAATCCACACTTGAATCCCACGGAAGCCACTAAAACCTAAACCCTACAACCCTACAAAACCCTGTAGCCCTAAACAGTAGAACACTCCACCCTAAACCTCAAACAGTAGAAACCTTTCCCCTAAATCTTAAACAGGAGAGGTAGAACCCTCTACCCTAAACTCCCTAGCCCTTAATAGGGCCTGAATAATTAGAATAGGGTTTTGGGGCCCATTATACGATGGTTATAATAAGGAACCCCCCAAAATCGTTTTGGTAACTATTTAAGCCCCTTTTGTTTTAACAGTAGAAGCCCATCACAAAAACCTGGCTCAAGAGCCTCTCCCAGGCCCTTTCCATCAGCTCCAACGCCCAGGCCCAAGCCTGACAAAGGGTCCCTTTAGGGAGGGTTCGAGGGTCCTCTGGGTGTTCCTTTAAGGCTTGAAGGGCTCCTTTAAGGCTTCTTTTTCAAAGGGGAGTTTTTTTTCCAGGAGCTGTAAAGGAACCTTCAAAGGAGCCTTTAAACGAACCCTTAAGGGTTCCTTTTCCTCTTAGGGATCCTTTAAAGAACCCCTTAAAGGGTTCCTTTTTTAAAGGAAACCCTTATGGGTTGCTTGAAAGGGTTCTCGTCCAGATTGTGTTCGGGGCTTTGCTGCAACTTGCAGGGTTTGGGGCGCCAGGGTTTAGGTTCGGTTTGTGGGGCTGGTGGCTCGGAGTCTCCAGTTTGGGAGGATTCCGCAAGGTGGTCACCAACATATAGGGTCCGAAAAAGCACATAAGCAAAAATAAGGATAGGGATATCCCATATAAACCCCCTTGTACTGAAGCCCATTAAGATAGGGAAATCCCCATAAGATGCTTATGCTTATGCACATAAACCAGCACTCTACCCAAAGTCTAAACCCTGGAGCCCCAAACTTGAGCCCTTGTTGAGGGCTCCTTCAAGGAGGCCATAGAGCTTCTGTAATAAGGGATGGGGTTCTACCAGATCTTTTCAAGGGTTTCCTGAAGGTCTTTGGCTTTATTTAACGAATCCCTGAACCCTCAAAGGAATAACCAACGAACTTACAAGCTGTGAGAAGAGATTCGTGCCATACTTGGAGGATCATGGGGCAGCACATACGGTTGTAGGATTGTGGGTAAAGTAACTACTGGCTCTCATACCTCCCGAAACGCTAAACCTTAACTTCTAAATCCTAAACCTTACTTGCAAAGACACATTCCTCCTACAAAACGCGTAGGCCTTCAGGCGTCTACAACCCCAAATCCATAGAGTTCTCCCGTAATTAGCTCCGAAGCACTTGAAGAATCAGGGGACCTAAGTAACTGGCATTATGAGTTATTACAGCTGCAGTTGGAACAGAGGTATTTAAACCAACACGGGAAAGCTACTTACCTTACTATACCTCGCCGTATTAAATCTTATTGTCCTTGCAGTAGGAGCTTCGAGAGTTCGGAGCCTCAGCACCGATAACTTTCCTACGAATGCTACCCAAACACAAGCATGTCAGATTCCTCCAGCCCGATGGAAATTTCTTCGACCAATGCTCTCCTCAATCCTAAACCCAGGGACCCTCCCACAACTACGTAAGAACAAAGAGGGTTTGCGGCAAGGGCTCCTGAATGCACAAGTTCTGCACCCCGAGCTCTGACCAAGACTACAAGCCGTAGCAAGAGAGCCTTCTCGCCGCAGACTACGATGGCCTCTTGCAAGAGAGTGCCGTGGGGACTCCGCCCAAGGCGCCAAATATCCTACCAGGGAAAGTTTCGGATCGGACTCTCGGTGATTCGATTTTGCAGGCCACAGGTTAGGGCTTAGGGCTGAGGGTTCAAGGGCTTAGCGTGCATGCAGGCTTTAGGGTTTTTTTGGGAGCTTCTTGTCTCCCTAAACGAGGTCAACAAGTCGCACTTATTAAACACTTTGGCCCCATCATTTGGACCATGACACTCTGTTCAGGGTCATGCGCATCTACACTTCATGGCTTTCGGGTTTTAGGCTAAGTTAGATGACATGAGCATAGCCGTGTATTGTTTGTATTAATGATAAAAATAGCACTAAGCAGAAGAAGGGTAAGTATAAGTACACATTGTTAAATACTTACTCATTCCGTCCTCCATCACCTTCACGGCTTCCGGCCAGTTCCCCGTGTGGGAAGCTTCCGCCACGGCAGCCGCTGCCTGCTATCGGAGGCTTGTCGAACTTTCGTTGCTAAGCGACCTTTCTGGGAACCGGAACCCCGAAACCTAGGCCCTGCAGCCAATACCCTACACCGTTTCCTAAACGCAGACTGTGTCTAAACATCGACTTGGCTGACTAGACCGTCGAGACCGCTGTTTTGCTACTTAGGACTTTGAGGAGCTGGGCAGTTCGAAGAATCCTGAAGTAATTCGGGACAAAGCCTAGTTCCATGTGTTTTGTAAGGGGTTGTCAAGGGTGCTCTTGACAATCATTTGTTACAAGCTCCTCGCAGATCGACTCAAATTGTAACCGTCCTGCACAGTCCACTCGAACCGCACGCAGCTGCACCCTCGATCCGATCCGACCCTCGCACCCCCTATACGAGCTCCAAACTCCTCAAACACATATAACCTTAACCCAAACCCTATAACCAGCATGAAAGACTACAACAACCTTCTGCACAAAAAACCAACAAAACCTATCCAAACCTTTAAACATGCCACCAAAAACCATAGAACCCTATGCTACAGCCTGTCAAAACCTCATCAACAATAAGTCCACGCGGACCTTTGCCAGGCGCGCCCGCCGCGAGAGCTTCTCCGGTGCACCTGCCAGCTTCCGGCTTCCACTTTGGATGAAAGGTTTTGGTTTTGGTCCTGGCCTAATGTACCGCAAATATCCATTACAGGGCCCCTTTAGGGGAGTCCTGCAGGGCTTTTGGTTCAGATTCGACGTTAAAGTGAGGGCTGGGCTCAGGGTTCAAGCTTCAAGACATGGTATCGGGGTTTTGGGCGTGGGCTGAAGTTCATCGCACAGTCTATCGCGTATCGAGTTCAGGGTGTAGGATGCCGGGCATAGGCTTGATATTCAGTGTTTCCGGGCTGGCAGTACTGCAAGTCCGATACTCTTAGTCAGTCCGGAATGTGTGTTGCACGGGGTTCTTGCGCTGGCGTTTGCAGCACCGAGTTTGTCCAAATTGCTTCAGATGGCAAGCGCGCTTTGTGGTTTCATCACATTCCACAAGCGAAAGTCCCGTCCCACGAATTACGGTGCAAGTTGTCCAGTTTGTGCGTATACTCCAGCAACTGCTGGTTCTCCAGGTGGGCTTTGAGCAGCTCGTGCTCTTCTTTCAGCACCTCAACCTCGGCCTTTTTGGCTCTAGCTTCCGCACACTGCCCACGCTGCTCAAATCGAGCAGCTTGTTGGTTTGTGGAGAGGATCCTTCTTGCCCTGTCGTGGCCAGCGGCATCCAGCCTCTTCCCAAACTGTTGGTTTCCAGTCAGGCACACCACCTGCGTCCTAACTTGCGCAGCGTTCTCCGGTGTCAGGCCAACAGCAAGCTCTGCATGTTTCGCTTTGCAAAGCAATCCGGCTGGCAACAAGTGTTGCAGTACATGCTTGCACTTGGTCACGCCGCAGATCAGAAGTAAATGCGAAGACTTTCCCGAAGCAACATTTGATTCAATGCCTGAGGTTCTGGCCAAAAAAATGCGCAACATCTCGAGCACCTGGGCATGTTTTTGCCGAATCTCCAGGGTCAGCGACACTCCCCGACCCCGCTGCACGATGCAGCCCTCTGCATCGAAGAAGCCGGCGAAGTAGTTCCAGCTGCACGGCCCGGCGACTGCAGAATCGCGTTTTTTCATGGCACACAACTCAGCCTTGCAGTCCTTTCTTTGGGACTTCGTTTCGGGCCACTGGGCCGTCAGCATGAGCTGCTCCCGCTTGGTGATGCTATGTGGCGCCAGGAGCTCAGCTACCCTTCGGGCTGACTGACCGCATGCGATCCACCTGAGAGCTGGCTTGCGCAGTCCCACGCCGCCTCTGCTTGCCGGCGTGATACCTCCCCCGAAAGTCTCACGAAACAGCGTCAGAACCTCGGCCTGGTCAAAGGACTGTGACACATCCAAGTAGCAACCCGACATCTTTGGCTGACAAGACACGCAGCCATCCCCATCGAAAAAGCCTGCCAAGTAGGCCAGCAACGACTCGGATGGCGGGTGAAGCAGGTTCCTGCTCTCAGCTCGAAGCGGCAGGCTGTAGGTTCGCCCATTCGCCCGAAAACACGCCAGCTTGGGCCAGCGAACCTCGCTCAGCCGAGCACGGAGCTGCTGGTTCTTGCTCTGCACTTCCTTCAATGTGTCACACGAACCTGCCCCCAAACTGAGGCACGTCTCGACTAAAGGCCCTGCGTCACCTACCGAGTTTCTGCAGGAGCTGGCCCAAACCGCCAATACCACCAGCAAGCCACTCCACCATGACAATGTCGCCCATGCTACTTTCGTTCTCACACGCATTGCCTGTGGAAGGTTGGCCCAGCGACCAGGGGCTCCCATTTGCTCGTTTGGGTCACGGGCTTAGGCAGGAGCCGAAGAAGCTGAACAGACGAGCTCGTGGATTCGAGGCCCTTGAAGGTCTAAACATGTAGATTTGTCTGGGGCAGACTTCATGATTATGTGCAGGGAAGGTGCCGTCTACGAGAACTTCTCGATCCCTGACTTCCATACATCAAATCCCTGAAAGGCAATCCGTAATTCCAGGATGTAGGGGAATCACGTAGCACCTGTCTATGCAGGCTCTGCCCAAATGATGGATTCACAGCTGAAGGCTGTAACTTAGGCTACGAAAGCGTGTTGTCCAAGCACAGACACTTACTAGTCAGAGCGTCAGCGGCTTCTCAAACTGCGTATATGGCAGAGCTGGATTTCTCTGTGGCCGAGGCCGAGCTCAAAGATCCCATTCCTCCATTCCCTACTAACCAAAGGTAAGAAGTGGGAAAGACGATGGGCCATGAATGGGGATCCAGTCTCATACTCGACCTTGACCTCGGGATAACGAGCTTTGCAGTATTAAAGCTGTCCTTCTCAGAAAGCCATTTACATGATTTACAAATTTAAGGAAGGGTGTCGACTGGTAGAGATAAGCTTGTTTATGGGTCTTATAGGGTTCTATAGGATATGGAGGCGTCCCATAGGTTATTTTTGCGGGCTCGATATTTTGATTGTATGATAACCCTCAACCTAAAACTGGACTTTGGAACCCTGTAAAAGACCGTGGAATGCTATATACCACGACTAACCCATCTAGAACCCAAGTGGAACACTCCAAAGCACGATTCACTCACATAAAGCCCGGAAGGGACCATTTACATTCCTTGCTTAAAGGATCATGGGACTTAGTAACTAGGGTCATAATTAGGGTAACTATACTTATAACCCCAATTAAGGTACTTATAACCTTACTTACTAACTCCCATGATCCTCCGTTATAGCATCCTTATAGATCCCTTCTAGGATCCCTTCAAGGAGCCATATTGTGGAACCCTATAGTACCCTTACAGGAACTACTAAGTCCCATGATCCTCCAAGTACCGCTCGGTGACCGACCCCGCGCCTGCCCAAGCAGCAGCCGCCTCCGGCCGTGTCCGCTGAATCACCTCGGCGTAGACGGCGGGTTTGGGGTGTACAGTCTTGCCCTTTTAATGGAGTCCTTCATGGGGGATATTTAGGGTATAGTAGAGGGTAGTTGGCGGGTCTAAGTATCTAAGGATGTTGAAACAAGTTTTCGTTGGGGTTGTTAGGCTGCTTAGGGCTGCTGCTGCTGCTTTGGGTCGAGAAACCCTTACCCAGACCTATTATGTTTCAAAGGATATTCCTTATTTACCCAGAGAGCCCAATACCCCTTAATTAAGGAATATGGCCTGCTGCTTTGGGTTTAAGACTTGTTTTTTCTGGGGTGCTTCAAGGGTCAGGCGATTTCACGGATTTGTTTTTGTTTTTTGAAGGGGGGGCTTGTAGGCATAGGGCTGACCCAAAAGTGCCTAAACAGCACCAAAAGAGGTTGCTGGGGCCAGAGAAGCCATTAAACTTGGCTTCTCCGAGTTAGGGTGAGTCTTTAAGGCTTACCTGTAGTGCCAAAGGTAACAACGAAGTAGGTCATGACTCAAATATGGCATCAAGCATACGGAGCCCCAATCCTAAAACCATACCCGCATCAGCCGTCTAAAGACCCACTACAAACCGAACGCCTTGAGAATCTCTCGCAACCACACTGACAGTCCCCTGAAGCATAAACCATATAAATCCATATAAACACTACACCCGGAAACCCTGAAACTCCTGAACCAGAATAACCCACACGCAAACCTCATGACTATGTTAGAACCCTCTCCAACTCCTTTATCAAGGAACCCTTAAGCCTTAAGGAACCCCAGCTTCGACGCCGAAATTCCTATAAAAAACAAACATTTGCCGTTTGAAATCTTCATCGAACACTTACTCTCCGATGCCTTGCCTTCGCGATCTTGGGCTGGCCAGCCTCCAGGCAGGCACGCTCGACAGCGCTTCCTTGGACACGCTTGGGCTGCGCTGTCAACTCAAAGCTGAGGCTCCTTCAGAGCTTGTAAAGGTACGGAAAGGGCTCTTGTCCGGGGTTCGATAAGGGCACACAGGGTTTAGGGCTTTTTTGACTCTGAAACTCTGCGAGTTAAGCCTCTTCAGCTTTCAGTTTAGGGTTTGGGGTTACCATTAGCCGGTTTAGTAAAAGAACTAGAGTTGAGGGTTTCGGTGTTAAGGCAGGGTTCGGGATCCAACATGCCAGAACAAAAACGAACACGATAGACAGTAACTCCCAAGTGTTTCCTGAAGCATAGGCAACGTACCAAACTCTACTGCTGAACCCATCATTGACCCATCCCATCCCTGTTGTACTTGTACTTGGAGGTTCATGGGTATAGGGTTATGAGTAGGGTGACTTTACTTATAACCCATAGTAGGGGACTTCTAACACGACTTATATCTGCCCATGAACCTCCAAGTAAAAGCCCTAAAACCTATACCCTTATAGAATCCCTATAGATCCCTTTAAAGGGACCCTTAAAGGAACCCTAAACCCTAACCCCTAAACCCTGAGGCAGCAAGGTGTCGAAAGCCGATGTCCCGCGCCGAGTCCCAATCTGCCTGGTGGGCATTTCGGCATCGGATAGGATTGGATATCAACCCGGTTTAGGGTTTAGGGTGTAGGGTTTAGCCAAGATCCTAAACCCTAAACCACAAATGAGAAACTCTATAAATCCGAAATCCTTAAAAACCCTAAGTCCTATATCCTAATCTCCCTTAAAATCCTAGACACTTGCGGAAGTCTGATGCTTGTGATTGCTCGTTTCGCGATCATTTCTGCTCTGTTAACAGGACTGATCTGAGTTGTCCATTAAGCCCTTTGTATTTGCTATTATGGTTCTCTGCAAAATAGTAGGGGAAATTGAAAAAAGATCCCAAAGGACAACCCAGTGATGTACTGATGGAATGACAAACGGTCCACTGTGAGTGCCGGTGGTGATAATCGAATGATAGAAAGGCGTAAAAAGGGTCGTGATAGTGGTCTTCGCAGCTGTTGCAAAAGATCCCTACAGCTGCTGCTGCTGCTGCTGCTGCTGCTGCTGCTGCTGCTGCCACTCCTACTCCTACTGCTAACTGCTGCTGGTCCCGCAGCTGCTTCTGCTGTTGCTGCTACTGCGGGACAAAAAACACCCATTTCAAAGCCTTCCAAAACCCACATATAAACATCCTAAACATTTACACCCTACATCTTACAATCCTAAACCTCTAGCGAACACCCACAACAATGACAGCAGATGAGAACCACTGACCAGCCCTGTTCTGCCCCCCCGCATAAAGCTCTGTTAGAAACACCCTCAAAACGGAAACCAACCCCCCGAACCCGAAATCCTAAACCACCCAAGCCCGAAATCCATAAAACTCGACCTAGAAAGCCTAAACCAAAACCCCAAAGCCCAAAACCCTTAAATCCCCTGTAGATCACCCTTTAAAGGAACCCTTAGCCCCAGATCCTTCAAGGAACCCTTAAAGGGAGCCTTTAAAGGAACCCTAAGCCCCTAAAACCCAAAAACTCCATCAGCCCTGCGCTCCGAGAGGCCTCGGACAGCAGGCTCAGTGCCTGGCTCTTACCCATAGGCCCCCAAAGTTTAGGGTTTAGGGTTTAGGGGTTTTAGGGTTTAGGGTATATATAGGATTCTACATACGAACCCCAAACAGGAACTACTTTGGGGCCTTAGGGTAAAGATTATTGACTCAGGGAGTTGTGTCTAGGTTTATAGGGCTTAGGGAGTTGCGTGTACCGGGTTGAGGGTTTGAGAAGTGTTATGCTTTAGGGCGTTTAGGGCTTGGGGTGTCTTTTTAGGTTGGTTTTGGTTGTGGCCGCGGGGGCTTTTGGACTTGTAGGTATAGGGGGTTCGGTAGGCTCTAATGTTTTTCAGGGATTCGAGGGGTTTCAGTGATGTAAAGAGGGCGGTTCGGGTTTAATGGCTTATTCTGGTTGTTCATAGGGTTTCAGGGCTTAGGGCTTCCTTGGGGCTTCCAGATACCTTTAGGGGTTTAGGGGTTCAGGGTTTAGGGGTTTAGGGGTTTAGGGTTTAGGGTTTAGGGGGGTTTAGGGGTTTAGGGGTTCAGGGTTAGAGTAAAAGTGGTGATGCTCACAATTTAGCCATGCAAGGCAAGGAAATCGAGGTATCGGCACGGTAGTAGCACATGTGAGAGGCACACTGGCAATACCTGATGTTATGCACACCATGAGAAGTCGAAGTTGTATACCAGCACCGCAGTACTCCAAAACTTCTCGCATCTAGGCTACATAAACTAGCCCAAGCTTTGCAGCAAGTATCAGCAGCCCAAACCTGCAGAGTCACTGCAAAGTCAACCTGCACCCTTAAAGCAAAAATTGCCCCCCCATCGTCCTGTCGCCACTCACGGCTGCGGCCACAGGCCACTGCGACGGTGGTTAGGAGCCTTGCTTGCATGTTCATGGTACTGAAAAGCTGCAACGCACCAGGCTTTGCTTTCTCATGTTGTGTATCGTTTCGTAGGGCAATCAGGGAACAGCCTTGGCGAAGGCCATGTGTAAAAAAACTGCTGCTGAAACCACAGCAGGCACCCGAACCTTAAACCTCGAGACTTCAACCCGGAACCCCTAAACTCAACACCCCAAACCCTAAAACCTACAAAGCAGGAACTCTTGTTGTGCCCTTTACTTGGAGGATCATGGGACATAGTAAGTAAGGTTATAAGTACCTTAATTGGGGTTGTAAGTATAGTTACACTAATTATAACCCGAGTTACTAAGTCCCATGATCCTTTAAGTAGGAACCATGGGGAAAGACAAGAAGCTTTGCATCGGGCTCCTCGTTGCGGATGAGGCCACCAGCACCTGCTGCCACACGGGGGGGGGGGGGGGGTCCAGATTTTTGTGACTGGTCTTGGGTGTACTGTAGGATCCTTGGTAATTGGAATAGGGCTTTGGGGCATATTGTACTACATAATAA